GGGGGGAAGGGAGAACTTACTTCGTGTCCCAACTCTTTTGTCCGGGATTGCGGATCAATGTATTCGTTTTCTTTTATAATTCCACGTCGACTGACTGTGGATTTTGCCATTTCTATAGTTTAGAAACGTTCAGCATGTAAATTGAAGGAAGCTTCGCGCTTTATTAAGGCTGGACAAAGGAAATCTTTCCCGAGAAAGTTGTAGTAAAAGTTAACTTACATTAAAGTACATCTTGTACATTTCCCTTCCGGAACTGCCTGCTAACGGATGGAGCTTAGAACTTGCCTGTACGCTTGTTTGGATTTGCCTCTGGGCAAAATTTACATAAATTTGCCTTTTGTAAGCTTCCAATCCCAAGATAAGTTCAGTTATTGATTGATCGATTTGTTTAATAACTTGCTAAGGTATTTTATCAGGTGCAAAACACCGCTAGCTGCTCTATTAAAACGCAGATTACAAGACCCTGTCGAGGTAAATGTATTTATAAGTGCAATTTAAGTGCAGTTAGCGGATGTTGATGGCCCTTGTTATTCCAGTGTTGTGTCATTACTAATTTCACTGGAAAGCAAACTTTACTAAATCTATTATTAACTCGCCTTCGCTTTTAAGCCCTTTTTTAATAAAGCCACCCCCCTAGAAGAAAGAGAAATCAATAAATTATTTAATTAAGGTGTTATTCTTAATTAAGAAAACCGGTGCCGTCAATTTCACAGCATCTTTCTCTGCTTGAAATAAAGTTTAATTCATAGAGGCAGCGTGTGTCAATGAAAATATCTTGTCTTCCTTGATTCAGATGATCTAGTTCCATCTTGAGAATAGTTGAAATATCAAAACAAAACAAAAAATAGATAGGAATTTGACATTGCCATCGATGAAATAGGCGTACACCTCTCTGATAAGACCATTAACATACCTCTAAATTGAAGTGTTTTCTGAAATCTGAAATTAGAACAGACAGGCTTTGTTTTGACGGCATAAAGAGTCCTCAGTTCTTAACACTGCTTAACAGGGCTTGTAACACGACTCGTGACCTTCATCATGGAGTATTCTCGTGAATAAACATTCTCCGCTGGCTCGGTGTCAAAGTAAAGTCTTGGCTGTTTTCCACATGCAGCTGGTGAGCAAATTAATGTGCGAAAAACCAAGTTACTAATTAGATTTCCTCTGGCCTTAATCTAGCGCCTCACGTCTTTTAAACGAAATGTTGAAGAGTTTCAAATATGCAACATGCAGTTTTGACAAGCACAAGATTATGTTCCATCAAGTTCTTGTCATTTTGTTTAACGGTTGCGAGGCTCAAACATAATGGGGCTAATGCTTGTTATAAAGATTCGCATGAGGTGTTAATTAACATTAAGTCCCCATTTAGCAATGTTTCTTTCTCGATCTGCACCCGGGATAACTGATGGCTTTCAGTAGCAATCACCGGCCTAAAACGAATGGATAGCAGATGAAAACTAAAACAAATGCCGACCACTTAAACACTGAGGAAATTATTGTGTTTTTTACGCGGTTTCGTTTTACTAATTGAAAAAATGAGCATTTTGGACATTAATGTAGTGGTGGCCAATCAAAACAAGGGAAACGAATACTCTACAGTTCATCTTCATGAGTACCGTTCTAGTAAATTCCAATCTAAGCACTGTCTTCGGTGTATTATCAAAATGTTCCCTCAAGCTGGTGATTATGGTCAATAAAGTTGTACCTACAATATTCCAAAGTGTGGCTTCATCTATCGATACAAATATTACTAAACTGTTGGGGCTCGTTTTCTGAATATCATGAGCATACTGTATAGCAGCATACAGCATTCTTAAAACTGTATGGAGATACACGCATCACGGCGCTGAGGAAATTTGCCAGAATCGAGAATTTTAAGCGTCCACGGAACAGCAGGGTCCAAGGCATTTCCCTTCAACCGAGACTCCGGCATAATTGACGTTAATTAAGAACACGTTTTTTCCGTTCCAAGCCCATTATTATTAAAATTTTTCGGGAGCAGAATTGTTGTCCCAAACGCGGCTGAGAAATTCTAGAATACTGTGTTTTCCTGGTCAAAACCAGTAATGAAACCTCGAGTTTGGTGTCTCAAAAGAGCTTCAAACACATAGAGGAACAGTTCTTTTGTTAATTTTAAGTTTAGGGGTTGAAATCACCTGGCAGCGCCTACAAAAGTTAATGAACTTAATCAAATTTTTCCCGTCATGTTTTGTATTATGCTGTTTAGGTGGAAAAGCATTTTAACTAACTTCCAAAACAATTATTTTAAATCACTTTGATTCATATCAAAACTGATAGATATCACAAGAGAGGTTTGATATATTTTCTTGGAAAATTTTTGTTTTGGTTTTCCTTGGTCAACCAAAAGAACTCTCCGTTATGTCTTCATTTTCGATAAATCTGTCCAGAAGAGCAATCAAAATGGTAGTTTTTTTTTCATTTTATATTGTAACTGGCGCCAAATCAGTGTTTTTAAACTCCAAAATTGTAGCATTGAAGGATGGAAGAAAAGGCACAAGAATTTATAATTGCAATTGAGGCTTGGTTTTAGAAGTCATCAGGAAATTGTATTATCAATCAGTATTTTTTCAGTCACAGTATAGTGACGAATAGATTACTATAACATAAGGCTTCGTGAAAACACTGTGTTGTTTTCAAAGGCGGTTTTAAGGTCACACTGAGTTAAATTAATAAACGAAAGTGCAGTCACGAATCTGAATAGAATTACCGTGTCCTTTGTGAAATATTTATTGTTGAGATAGTGCAGTTTATGACTCTGAAGCAATAAATTTCACTGACAAATTTTCAAGTTAAGTTAGTATGATGCCAAGAATTAAGTGCCTTCTGTATACGAATATAGGTTTCTTTTGTCCTGACATTACGCTTCTTCATAAGGTCGCTGTGGGTGGTGTGTTGTCTAAAACGAAAATATTATCTAGACGAATTGAAACAGCCTCATTTCCTTCAGGCCAAGGTAAAAATGCAAAAAGGGGGTGTTGAATCAACCCAGGAAATCGCAGTCACTTCGACGCCAGCTATCTGCGGGGCAACTCAGAGCAGCTAAGTTCATTCCCTTAATGTTTATCGTGAATTTCTAAAACACAACCTTAATCAAAACAAAAACTTTTTTCAAATCCAATTTGACTTCGCCTCGATAAACGACAAAACTTGCACAATGCCACTCAAGCTTTCTTTATAGGACAGCATTTATCTTTTGTATTTTCTCTTCCTTTCCTGTCAATAATGAACTATCAATATTTGATTTATGCAGGCCACACTTCATGCACTCCCTTCATTTCTCATTCGCTTTCTAGTCTGTCAATTTTAACCTTCTCCAGGTGAAACAAATTAGAAACGAAAATTGCGTACCGCAATATTTTTGTGACTGAAGTGCTATATGAAAGGACGAAGGGATTAAAATCTGTCGCGTATATTGCCATCGGCTACTATGGTGCTTAAACATTAGCAAATATTTGTATATTTCAGTCCTAGAAAATATATTTTTATCTTTTCTCCTCAATAATAAAACTTGTAAATTGTGGCAATTTTATTTGCTCTGTTAAGCTTACAAAGTAGTAGATGAAACCACTAAATTGGGATTTTGTAACCTGACTGCAACACTGACAAATCAAAATTGTATCAAATTTTTCAGAAGAAACAAAGGATTAATTAACGAGAAAAAACTCGACCTCGCAATCAGCTTCGTTTGCAAATTTCGATTTTACGTTTTGCAGTTCCTTCAAACTCTCCACAATCATTGGCTTATCAAACTCAGGGTCTTCAACATCTCTGCATCTCTCATTCCGTAAGCTGTCTTTTTCATAAACTTTTTTCAGTATTGATAAACAACACCTCGGATAGCTCTGCGGTGGAAGTCAAATCAATCTTGCGCCTGTCACTCTAAAAGTCAACCGATCATCAAAACCTATTCCTCAAATGTACTTTGTCCGCGCCATTCATTTTTAACCATCTCGATAGCAAAAAAAAAAAAGATAAAATAGATTGCAATGATAACAATAGCTAAGTTCTTCTAAAAACCTGTTTTGTCACTTGGATGTCCTTCTGTTTTGCCATTGTTGCGGATTTTTGCCTTTTTGAATAAATGGAAACAAAACGCTCGCCACTTTTATTCTTGTTTGGATTTCTCAATACTGTAGTGACTGACGCCTCGGATGTGTAATCATTTTCACAATTTCCATTTTCCGGCATGGCTTGGCGTATGTGAGCGGGTGACTAATTACGCAGCTTGAAAAAAGATTTAAGATGTTCAATAATAAATGGCCAAACACACTGAAAAAAAGGAATGCCCTGTAAACACCACTGGGCTTTTTACAAACCTGTCGACATTAATCATGGCCACAAAATATATCCAAGTCATTATCTTTTGGCGATGTTCGCTTTTTGAAAACTATCGACACCTTTTCTACCTCAAATTATGTCAATATAGAAACTGTGGAAATTTCGCATATTGTCTTGAAAATTCCTTAATTGATACCTGTCGGTAGAAACCATCTTATTATGAAACTGGTGTAAATTGAAAAAAAGATTCTGCCATCCGGCGATGTTCAATTGCTATCACCTCGTCGCTGAAATAATTTGCGGCGCTTTCAAGTATACTAGACGAATTTGTTTTTACAGGATAAAATAGTACTGGTAGCATGTAGATTAATCTGTAGCACAGACAAAGTCGTTAAAAAGATTATTGCCTCGTAAGTTTTCCTGGGAGGCGTTCGACCCTCATCCATTGTTGACTTTCTATTTTAAGAGCGAATTGACTATGGTTATAAAGCAGACTTAAATGGTTTCAAGTAGGACCTCAGTCATAAATAATGAAGTAGTCAAGGACTTTCAGCTATTGTATTTAAGTGGCTCTAAGCGATTGAAACCTGGTTCGTTAAATTTTGGTATTGTCACCGAGTGACATCCTCAAGAAGGTAATGACGACCGAATTGTGATTGAAATTATACCATCTTCGAAATATCAGGGCCACACTTTGGGGTGGGGAAACCATAAACCGACCATAGACTATGTTGTTGACAGTACTGCGGTTGGAGTATTGCTATGAGATAAGCGAAAACCCACTGAGGACGATACCGTTTTTGCGGTATATAAGACGATAAAGCAAACATGAATAAAGATGAGCTAGTTTTGAAACTGTTTACGAAAAAATTACATCTTGTTTAGCCGTCGAAATGGTCGTTTGACATGGCGTGCATTTATCGTCGAACAAATCAGTTTCGCTTTTCTATTTGGCAAACACTGGTTTTTTTTCGACGCCATCTCAAGCTAAACGTATTCATTTGCTGTTACTTCGAAAACGTCGAATTCAGGATTATTTAATTTCCGTATTTTTGCAGTCCTTATCGAAGATAATTTGTTAGATTTAAAACTTACCCGATTCTCGAAGGCATTGTTTTCAGTGCGAAGAAATGAGATTTCCATCCGTGGTGAACTGTGTGATGCTGAGTTCTGTTTTGACTGCACCGAACAAGTGTTTTCACAGTAATTAAAATGGATTCTGTTGTCTATAATGTGTCTTTAAGTGTCAAAGCATGAATATTTAGCAAATTTCTGTTCCTGGTTTTCAATTATTTCGGAAATACAGATTATTCATTCCCAAGAGTATATATTTCATCAAAATTGGATCTATTTCCTAATGTCCGGGGTGTTTTTAATGGCTTCGTTGACATTCTAGCTGGCAGGGTTGCAGGCCCTGACCTAAATAACGATAATGAAGCAAGAAACGAATGGCGTTGTTAGTTACAAACAACTTTTGAATGAAAAATAAGGTCTCTGAATACATATCAATTAGAGTCTTTATCGTAGAACGTTAAGCTTCCTTTCTTTTTAATCCCAACCTTCCGCTAAATCCGAAAAGCTTTTTTTTTGAATCCGTAAAGGCCTAAAAGCCATTAACCAACGTGTTCTAGGGTTACTGAGATGTAGACTGAATGATCGCTAATTAAAATGGAAGTAATTTTTCCGGTTATGTTACTTAATGGGATAAATACTGAAATCCATTTGAAGAAAAACAAACATTTGGTTCGCGTTGAACCCAAATTAATGCGTTAAGGTATAGATTGTGTATTTTTGTGGGCTTACAAGATAACGAAGATGAAATCTACCCTGCGAAACGTCTTACCTCCAACTTCCTCAGTAGTAATTCGTCACCCAGACGGTTTCCCTGGCAGGGTTTCCAAAAAGAGACGACTAAGGTATAAACAGCTGCTTTCATAAAAGAAAGTGATCCGCAAATACTGATTGCAAAACACTTTGGGATCTTTTGTCTATGCAGGTTCTTAGGCTATCAATCTTTTGTCTGTTTGCCTTTCTTATTTACCACATTGCCTTCAATTTTGGTAAAAAAAAGATCCGAAAGCCAGTAATTACACCAAAACAAACATTCATGTATTAAGGTGGATCAAAGGTTTCTTTTAATACGCGGAGAAGAAAGAAATGGACAGTTACCATGTAATCCCGTTAAGACGCCGCAAGGAAGTCGGATTTTATATTAAACATTTTGCCCAAAAATTAAATTAAAATACGTTTTTTACATGACCATGACAGAATCTGTGGACAATTGCCACTGAAACATTCATGGTAAATTGTTTAGAACAATTAGCTCGGATCAGTTTCCTCGGAGAAAAAGATTTTTCGTTGAATAGCAGTAAATCATTGCAGCAGGGTTTTACTGATCCTAATTAAGATATTGTCTGTTGGGCGACAGTTTTCTTCGGGCAGGGCGCAACATGCTAAAAAAAAGGAATATATAATTATTCATTTGCGGTGTAAATAAGCTTCAAAGGAAGGAGCCAAATTTGGCGTCAAGTCAAACGCTGTGAATAAGTATTCTATGCTAGCTCATTACCGGGAATGCTGTATCATGTTAAAATCAAACGTTTGAACAATAAAACAACCAACAAGGTTTCGTTTTATTTTCAACATTGTATTGTCGCTCTCAGAAAGGACTACACCTTGTATTGAGACGCGAAACAGCGGCAAATTGCAAAGTTGAGTACACGTTTCTCTATTTCCCCAGAAAAATCCAACCGACCGAAGAATCAGTTAAAAAAAAAATTGCTCGCCTTTAACTGGTTTCACAACCAGACTCCCCTTATCTTTGTTGAATTCGCTCTTTCAATCATCTTAACTTTTCAGTATATATGAAATACACCGAATAAGTGTGTTTAGGCATAAGATTAGTCATTTTTAGTTCTAATGAAAAGCTTTTCTCGTAACGGTTTGTTTTAAATTACGTGGTGACTGCGCATGCGTTTTTGCGGGAGATGTGCGACGCAACGTGTATTGCGGGTGAAATCTAAGCTCAGCTGAGAAACAAGCAATTCAACCATAAGCAGAAATGCGTTGGAACTAGTGAAATGGAAATGAAAATGGTCCATGCGCTTGTATTTACATTTGGGTTTCTACTTTGTTTAAACGCTTCTCACACCACTGCAAACACCAGGTACGATTTATTGTCGTCCGCCATCTTGAAAAATCCCATCCATTCATCATCTGTAAATGTCAAAACCTTTTTTTGATCTCTTAATGCTTTCCAAGTTGCCAGTATAAAACTTTGAAAAAAAAAGTTGTTGAGTTGATGTGACAAGCGGCCTCAGTCTGAGATGATGGCATTACTGAAAGAACATGAGAATTTTTCCGATTCTCCAACTGCAAAATATAAACACCGGTGGAAGTTAGCGTGTCTGGGGAGCTCAGATCGTTGGCCGACTCGCCTGTTTGTCGACTACGATTATCTCTGCTCTTGCCACGCATGCTTCAGTTTTTCTTTCTATTTTGTCAAGAAATTTTCCAAACGCAAACTTGTTCGGACTTCTTCGGAATTCGGCGCCAAACACAATTTCGTGCTTCGTAATGCAGCCCATTTTCTTTGTCTTTCTGTAATTGCGCATGCATTAGGCAACGTTGCCGGCAGATTTTTTACTCCGCCTGATCGATGTAAATTCCATGGGTGAGACATAGTGTTGACAAAGGCATGGTTTCTGACTGGTGCATCTTTCAGGCGAGCGAACAACAAAACAATGTTAGATTTACTGACTCGAATGGAGAGTACGTACCCACAAATTTTACTGTTTCCAACACTGAAGTACAATACAGAATAGAATTCCTGCATGACTTTTAAAGAAAAACTGCTGAAGGCTTGGAAAATGACATTTCAAGACAGTATCAGCATTTCAAATCCTTAACCTCAAATTTGTCGTCAAACAGTAGCTGTAGGTTTCAATAGTCAGCACAGTGGTTCTGCAGTGAGAAGCTCAGTGATCTTATGAACACAAGATCGTAAGGTCTAAACGAATCGAGGCGTGTAGCATTGTGATGCATTCACTCAGGAATGTAAATGAGTCCAGCAAACTGCTAGGACAAAGTTATGGAGGCGAAGTTGTGAGGGGGGTAGGGAGAGAGGCGTGGACTACCATCCCACCGAGGTCTACAAAAAGGGAAAATCAGCATACGTTAGGTCCATGCTGTGGAAACCGAAGTTAATCTACCTACTGGAATTTAGGCTGCCCTTGCCTTCGTAAACTTCGTACATTTTCAATCGCACGCGTCTTCAACGTGAAATGAGCATCGAAGAGTAAACTAGTTGGCCGAAATTCTCTATGCGCTTTTCCGTACCTGGTCTCACGAAATGTTCTGCACATTGAGCTGCTGTGATCTGACCTCAAAGACAAATGACATAGACTACACCGAATTACGTGATAAGGCTTTCAAAAGTATTAAATAAGTGATAATAAAAAATAAATTCGTTGTTTCTTGTACCAGCTCACCCTGGGCGTTCTTGTCTTGTTTGCTTTAATGCCCCTTTTCACCTTCCCGACAAAAAAATCTGATGAATCTGAGGCTGTCTCTGTAAGAACCGACCACTGATTTTACTTCGAAAATTCGATTTTTCTCATAAGCTGGGATTTCGAAGCCCTTACCTAGTCAATCACTAAAATGAGTTTTATTTCATTAAAAATTCCAAATGCAGTTTTCTAGGATTGATTGAAGTTCGGTCCGCTCGACACAATTTTCATGCCCGCCGAAACTGGAATAGTAGCACATATTGCCGGCGCTCTAAAAAAAAATAATATTCGCTCAAAAGTCCCAATTCTTTTTTTCAACTATAGATATATCATAGCCGTTTGCTTAGCCATGTTGCAATTATAATTCAATGTTGTTCCTTCAACGGTTAAAAGAAGATTTTCTACCCGTTAAATCGAGTTTTGAACCAAACGCGAAAATAGCTCTACTTTGAAGGCACGTTTTAAAAATGTGGCACCTGTTTGAAACTGCCGAACTACATGAATAGAAAGTATAAATGTCCCTTAATTTGAAATAATAATAAAATTTGTCTGCCCACTAGGTTTTCAAAACTAACGACCGCTTAAAGATCAGGAAATTTAACTGTAGGTCTGTATATAAAGTAGATTTATACGTTCCTCATCTGTGTCGAGCGTGACCGTCACATACTTCGATGTTCTTTGTATTACTGACCATTGTTTTCCTCGAAGCCGGTTTAATCATGTAGACTCCTCTTGAAAGGTTTGTAGAAGCACTCTTTTGGACAACTCTCGGCACACATACATGTATGAACAGTAAACGGTGATTCGGGAAGCCAAGGAAGGATTGATAAATGCCACGGCCATTTTGTGTTTACAACAAGTGATTTAGTTCCCAATATTCCCATTATACTCACGGGAAAGATTGAAGGAACAACATTGAATTATAATTGCAACATGGCTAAACAAACTGCTATGATACATCTATAGTTGAAAAAAAGAATTGGGACTTTTGAGCGAATATTATTTTTTTTAGAGCGCCGGCAATATGTGCTATTTTTCCAGTTTCGGCGGGCATGAAACTTGTGTCGAGCGGACCGAACTTCAATCAATCCTAGAAAACTTCAATTGGAATTTTTAATGAAATAAAACTCATTTTAACGATTGACTAGGTAAGGGCTTCGAAATCCCAGCTTATGAGAAAAATCGAATTTTCGAAGTAAAATCAGTGGTCGGTTCTTACAGAGACAGCCTCTTAACATGGTGGTAAACGGGAAAATTGTCAAGGAATGGGTTTTTGTCTCGGACATAGCTGTTGCGGGCTGGCGAACGTGACTTATCATTCATTAAGCGGCGAGTCTATCGCCCCTCATAGAACGATCACATCACTAACTTCGTCACTTTTGCTGGGTCCGTGCAGCCAAGGGTGGCAAAAAAGGCCTTGTGATCTGAAAAATAAAAGGTTCATTTCCAACGTTGCACTAAGGCACTACGCCATAGAAAATTGCAGTTGTTATTTTCGCCTTGCCATGTCTTGTATGACTTATTGCACCTATCAGTATCATAAGAGATGACTACAGGGACTTGCATTCACGACTGTTCACATGCGAGGAGTGGACAGTTTATGAGTTTGCTGTTGTTCCGCGTCACTGCAGCTTATCCTTTGTGAGTCCTTCGTGTATCAGTACCTTAAGAGAAATGCATGGTCTTCGAAACTAGATAATTCAGGTACAGGGTATATGAAACATAGCTTTTTTCATTGTTTGACCAATGCCAAGCACGTGTTTCTTTACAAAGAAACCTGAACTTGGGATTATTACTCGCGCCTGATTCGTTTACCACGTGACTTATTCTTGCCAATTTGTTTGTGACAGGAAGATTCCTGGTGGAAGATTCCTGGCGGACTGCAACAATGATTAGCAGGGTACACATAGCGCCCTGGTGATAAGCAGGCACTGGTCTTGTTGGGGCAACTGTTTATTCTTCATGATGGGCCAAACGAAACAATAGGTAAACAACAAAAACAATGCCCCTAGCCATAAGAGGAGGTCTATTCTACGGTTTGGTGGTTTAGCCAATTTTGAGTGCCGGTTTTCGGGTAC